ATGAAATACTATGAATTTTTTAATTTTTACCTACGGCACCATGCCCAAGAAAACTGGAATTCGACTCAACGAGGCTTCAGGAGTTCGACTCAACAAGGCTTCAGGAATTCGACTCAACAAAGGCTTCCGCTTCATAAACACATCGGTTGTGTTTGTCGTTTCATACTCACCTTTGTCAGTTGATACCAAGGCAAGAAGCAAGCCGAAAGCAGGTTGTTTAGCGTGGTAAGGAGGGAGAGAGGGAGGGAGGAGAGGGAGAGGGAGAGGGAGAGGGAGAGAGGAGAGGGAGAGAGGGAGAGAGAGAGAGAGAGAGAGAGAGAGAGAGAGAGAGAGAGAAGAGAGAGAGAGAAGAGAAGAAGAGAGAGAGAGAAGAGAGAGGAGAGAGAGAGAGAGAGAGAGAGAGAGAGAGAGAGAGAGAGAGAGAGAGAGAGAGAGAGAGAGAGAGAGAGAGAGAGGGAGAGAGAGGTCGAAAGACAGATACGAATAGATGGATAGAGAGACACGACTACATACATAAAAAATTAGACAGGCAGTTAGACAAACGAAACAAACGAAAGAGAAAGATAGACTGATACACTAAGACAGTGGTTCCTAACCTGTTTTACGCCCGCACCCCAAACAAAATTTTACTGTGTCCTCGCAACCCCTTTAAATTTATAACTTATTTGAGTGTAAATGAGGGGAATTTATACTAAATTTGATCAACTAAAGATTTTTTTTCTTCTAATATTTGTTAACAAAAATCAAACATGTCACAAACTATTTGAATAAACCCTACAAAAAATAATCACTTGCTTGAAATATCTCCATGTAAAAACTAAAGAACTTTAAAACGTTCATATACATGAATTTTCAATTCAATGGCTCTTTTCTTTCTTTTTCTAGATTCTGAGTAATAAAGAGATTAATTGCTTGTCTTCAAGATGGAAAATCAAAGAACTTTAAAACGTTTATGTAAATGGATTTTCAACTCAATGGCTCTTTTCTTCCTTTTTCTAGATTCTGAGTAATAAATAGATTAATTGCTCGTCTTCAAGATGGACACTTCTCATCCCCTTTAGAATATTATCTCACTCCCCTGTTTCCGAAACCCTGCACGAAGACGATAGACACAGACAGACAGACAGACAGACATATATTTCAGCGGTCCAAGAGCAACGGTTCTTACCACGTATCTGTAAGTTTCAATGATAGAATCTCCTGAAGTTTGGCGGTCAAAGCTGATATGAGGTAAAACCAGAGGGCGGGCTCTTGTTGGGTTGAACAAAGCCTATAAAAAGGTTTATCAAAAGCACGTTTAAAGCAGGCCTATTAGGGGAAAAATAATAAGCATGTATCCCTCCTTCATTTCTGTGGTTTTGTGTATTTGTTTAATTTCTTGTTTAGAGGTATTTGTACTTTTTTTTTATATGTGCAAATTAAGCTTTTAGGTATATGCATGTTGTGTTCGTAGATATGTTATGTGTATGCCTATGATGTGTCAATATATATGTTAGTTTATGTTTTTTATATTAGTTATGTTATCTATGTGTGTATGATAGTTTTATTTATGTTATGTATATATATATATATATATATATATATATATATATATATATATATATATATATATATATATATATATATGTATGTTGGGTTTATGGTCTGCTGTGTATGTGTATTTATCAATCTATACGGAATATGTATGTTACGTGTATGTTATGTATCTGTGTATGCTAGGTTTATTTGTATGTTATGGTAGTGCGATGACTTGCTTATGTGGATGTTGTGTATATGTACATTATGTTATATGTGCGTGAATACGTTGTGCTGTATACATTTATGTTTAAGTATGTGTAAATGGATGTCGTTTTATGTGTGAGTGTGTGTAGATTCTCGTGTGTTTTGTATTTCGTGACTGCAATGTGTTACTGTCTCTCTGTTCATACAAACATGCGTACTATATGCGTCACAAATTTAGCACTACCATCACCAAAGCGATGCAAAAGATATAGCCACAATAAACCAAATAAAACACACTTTGTAAAGTCCATTTTTGAAAAGCTATGAAAATTTTGAATAAGCTATGAAAGAGAGTGAATAATTCCTATAATGTAATATAACGAATTAGCATTTCGATATGTCACCATAAAAACTCTGAAACGCAAATTTCGTACTTTCTATAAAGAAAATATTCACCCTCATTCATAACGACCAAGGAAAAGATTATTACAAAAACAAAAAAGCAAGCCACACAAACGCATTCGTACAGTTGGCTCTGGCTCCCGCTTGCTACGCCATCTGTGTTCGTGTTCCCAGGGCCGGAGATCAAGCGAATTTAAACTTACTTCACTATTATTGCTGCTAATCTCCTGTTTCTTCTCCTTTTTCTTCTTCTTTCTGTGGATTCAGAAGGGTGGGAATATTTACTTTTAGTTAATTCTAATGATAAGTTGATTGGTAAAATTGATACAAAATTATTATGATTTTATCTAAACTGCATCTATTTTCAGGAAATCACAAATTGGCAACTCGTTTAATTTTCCAATATCTAATGCTATATTTACATATGTTTGATATTTCAAGAAATTACATACAATACATTTATTACTTTAAATTACTCTATTTTTACCTTCACTATAGTTAGTGTATATATTCATTTCCTTACATGACATAAGCATTGGATAATATTTATCGCTACAAAATATAATTCTTCGAACAATGCATCACCAAGAAAACAAATCAGCTATTAACAAATTTTTAATAATATTTAACATACATGATTTAAACCATTCAATTTTTAATATAATAACTATCTTTAATCAAATTACAATGGAGGTTAAACTCACACAATGTAGCCGATGCCCAAAGCCAACGAGTGCGACCCACAGAGAAGGGAGACCAGGACGGCCCACGCATCACCCAAACAGCTTCCGTCCCTTCGGCATGACTCGAAAGATTTAAGCTCAAAACGTAGTTGTCTATCGGTGGGAACTCCGTCGACCTGAGTAGTAAAAATCTCAGAATCGTCTGGTACGAAAAAAAAGGCCAGCTATAATACTGGCGCCACGCCTGTTTTCTCATCAACTCTAATACTAAATCGGTCTGATTACCTCGTCCCTTCCTTCCATCCTACATATGAACCTATGATAGCTGCATAAATGTGAGCCACTCACTCCCCAGACAAGATTCGTAATAATCTCATGTCTACATGGAGTACAAAGACACCAAAATAAATTGCTATAGCATAATTCTATACCATTCCGATATACTGAGCCCTATTAAGACATATCTCCTTCTCCCTTCCCGTCTCCCTACCCCCTCTCTTCTTTCCCTTCCTTCCTCTCCCTCCTTCCCTTCCTATAAGTAATGCAATATATACTCACACTCATCAATCAATAATCAACACACATGTCAAGTCAATGCGTAATCTGCATACTCCACAATGCAATATAATCTCATATACTGCGAACCACAAAGTCATACCGTAGGACTAATAACAAAAATCAACATGAATCGAACTTCATATCAAAAAAGCTATCAAATATCTCTCTACTCTTCCACTCGTCTCCCATCTTCCCACTACTATCACTATGCCTAACCTAACTCCCTTACGTCTCTGGCCATGTTGTCCTCCACAAAGAAACCCCCTCCTCAGACACCTCATCTCTCACTATACCCTATGCTACTCTCGCTAACACCACCGTGTACTGCTTTCACCTACCTTTCCCTTACTCTCGCTTAACACATAATAACCTCCGTATCACGTCTCTTCCCCCCTTCCTCCCCTACCCCCCTCTACCTCTATCCGTCTAAGTGGTACCACTTCATACAACTCTACTCCACTCTTAATCTGTCCTCCCTCAGGGTCGCAAATATCCCCTACAAACACCTGTTCCCTCTGCACTATTACCGACGTCACATACCAATATTCAGATCTACAATCTATAGCAACCCCAGCTCACTATCAAAGTGACATCCCATACCCTGCCTCACACGCTCCGTGTCAGCCTGTAGGAACGCAACCGATCTGTGACAGTAGGAGTGTGGCTCATATACCTATCCTCTCAAAAAGGTCATACCACTCACTCTCGGGAACGCGTACAATGACACTAGGAATCTCCTACTCTGAAAGGAAAAATGCACGCTGGATCGTGAAGATGGCATGTACTGTAGGAGCATGAGAGCAAATAATGTAAGGTAAAGTAACGAAACAGTTCTTAGGCATAGGGATAAAATACTCTACTCAGAGGCGAATAAATACTGCCGGTTACTCTAAAATAAAGAATGGCACAAAATACACGAAAGTGTCGTGTGAACATATTAAGATCACGTCTGGAGGACGGTATACTAGCAGAATGTGGTATCGGAAGAAATGTGAAGAGTGATAATAAAGTCGAAGTCTCACCCAAAATAAGTAGGAAAAAGTAAGCTAACGTAATAACAGAGGTGGAGAAGATAGAAAGAAGATAACGAGGAAGTGGCTACTCGCGGACGCTAGAAGAAGAGAAGAAAAGGAGAAAGAAGAGAAAAGAAATAAAATAAAAAAATCTAAATAATCGGGAACGCTAAAAAAAAAGAAAAAAAAAAGAAAAAAGAAAAGAAAAGAAAAGGAGAAGAATGGAAGTAAGGAACAAGAAACAAGATAGAAAGCTCAGGGTGAGAGGCAACTGCACAGATGAGGAGATGCAACTCGAGAGAGGATAGGGTGCCTCGCATCGGTCCGGCCCGTGCTGCGGTGAGAGGGAGCGAGGGCAGAATGACGCTGACGCGTCGCGTGTACATGAAGGGAAGGCGTCCTGGAGACTGTCTGTGGACGCTGCTGTAACGAGAGCAGGTGGACGCGTTCCGCCTGCGTGACCGTCCGCACGTTAGCGCCTACCGCCGCCTCGTGGCTCCTGCGCGGTGTCCCCTGCTCGGTAGTGCTTGAGGCGGCCGCGGGCCTGTACGCATACCGCATGGATTGGGTGCTATGGTGGTCTTGGAGGACGCGCGTTACCGGACGATCGGTGCGAGCGCCTGCGAAAGGGAGGATCGGAAGGGAGCTTGGTGGCGTGTGTGAGTCGGTAGGTAGGCGTGTGAGGTGTGAGGCCACCGTCGTGGTGTGTGTCGGGAATCGCCGTGTGAGTGGAACGACATGACTTGCGCGCCATGTTGTCAGGTGGGTGTGGTGGTCCCCTCCATGAGGAGTTGCTGCAGTTTTCTGCGGTCTGGGGGTTAGAGAGGAGTATGCTTGGAGAGCGTGAGAAAGTGTCGAGGGTATGATTATGGTAGGAGGAGTGAGGAGAGTAGAGAAGAAGCAGTGGTAAGGTATGATGATTGAAGAGTGAGTGTGAGGAGAAGGAGATTAGGATGTAACAAGGTAGGCTATGTGTGGAGATTTAGTAGGATGTGAGTGTGATTCAGATCGAAGGGAATGAGATTGGAGAAAGGGAGGTGATGCAGGAAGAGTAGTTATGGAGTATGAGTTCTTTTGGATGAGGTCTTTGGTGGAGAGGCAGAAAGCAAGGGGAGTGAAAGGGTGATAAAAGGAACTCGTATGCATTGATGTAAGATAGGTAAGAAAGGATGATGGGAATAGTGTAGGTGTTTCAGAGAAAGAGTGAGGGCACAGAAAAGGAGAGTCAAAGAGTTTGCGAAACGAGAGCGAATACAAGGCCACGCATTAGACGAGAGAAAAGCAATACGAAGCGCCAAGGCGGCATGAGCAGCGCGAGGAAGCAAGGATACATGAAGTCACATGTCTGATGAGGTGACCGGCACACAGCGAAAACTAGAGACGATCACACCATCCCAACGACTGACCTGCAGCGCCCTCTCGCCGGAGCAAAGCCATCATCCGTGAAAAAGAGACCCCTGTGCTGCGCCTGGATTCGGCGGTGTATCGATCGTAAGTATAGAGAGATCATAACGACTTATACTGCGCTAAGATTACTCAGACAGAACGCCTCTGGCAGTGGTGATAATGCTGAAGCGCTCAACGTGCCATCTGTAGCTCCGTTAGTAGGCGAGCTTATACGCGTGGCTCGCGTGAAAAAGAGTGTCGGAGTGCGGAGTGTGAGAGTGGCGCGATGGGTCACGGCAGGAGTTGGAAGGTACAGTTCCCGAAGAGTTCACTCGGGTAGCTGGTTCGGACGAAGTTAGATCATATTGGAGATATCGGTTCATTAAAGGGCGAGTGGCGTACTGTTCGACTACCCACTCGCACCTGTTAGGTTACCTCGTTCGCCTTCAATTCAGGAGGGAAACAATTTGAAATCAAAAAGTTCGGGAAGCAGGTATAAGAGACACGCACAGAGGTTGAGACACCACTTCACACTAGGAGGAATGGGTGTGCGCCCCGGTGGCGATACCCAACGCAGGGCGCTGCGGCTCGTGTGAGTCATCCTCGTAGGAACGCGGGCTGGGCGTCTCCCTTTGCTTGCGACTTGGTAGGCCTGCGGGTGGTGTGTTTGATTGCTCGCGGTAAGCAGGTGCTCGCGCTCGCTCGAAGTTTGCCTCCGAAACAGTGAAAGGCATTCCTTGACGGGGAACCATCTAGAGATAGATGTTTAAAGCAGGTACGTCTCGCTTGTCTTTTGCAAGTACCCGTGCATGTTCTGTTTTAACTAGATCGTTCCTGCTTGCTGCGCTGTGTGATAATCTCGAAGGTAGGCAGATGGCAGGTGGTCGATTTCCATTCCAACCTCGGAACCTCATATCCTCGGCGTCCCTATATTGAGCGTTATTGAATGGAGGTGATCGGATTGTGTAAGGATCAGTGCAGGTAGCTATAATATTCGAGCGACGTGCAGCGTTTTATATTATGTATTAACAATACGGGGAATAGGTTTGGTTGCAGACACAAAATAGGATTATTTCCTTTTGCGACTCACCGGAATATGGTTTATAGGACATTTTTTTTGTTTAAATTTGAGACTTATCTGTGGTTGTAAACCTCCCCATAAACATCGACTATCCTCCTCTTATCAATACACCCTTCGCACTCCATCTTCCCGTAAATCACTTGCTCCGCAATATCTCATGTCGTCCATATCTCCATTTATCTCTCGTCTCTTCTACGCTCATTGAATATTACAGTGGTCTAACTTTCTCCTCATTAAATTACCCTTTTTCACTAATACCTCTCTGGCTTCGGGTTCTCGTTATCTCTGGGCCAGTCCTTCACGGAAGGAACGCGGCCTTTCACGCTCGGAGCAGGGCCTGGCCCTCGACGTGTTCCGGATGAGTCATGTTACATCCATTGGAGGAAACAGAAACATCGTACAATTTATCAACTATCTTGGCGGGCGAACTAATACATGCTCTTGAAAGCATGGTGGACGCATCGGATGAGAGTCCAGTTCTTGTCTTCGTATGATTCGGACTATCAGGCGGGACTGACACCAAAGACCAAGTCGGCTAGTGCGCGGTGCGTATATTCTGCCGTGGTGGAAAAACACTGTGTTGAGCGGATTGAGACGGTTAAGGACATGGAACGTGTGAGATTAGGAGAAGGCCGATTTGTAGGATAGGGTAGTATTTAAATAGCAGCGTAATCGGTTGATTTTACTTCTTTTCACTTGTCTCAATTTGGGTGGGTATGTTTAACGCAGGCTGCTCTCATTGTGGTACGTGGTGTATAGTGTTACGCGCTCGTCGGATGGTTTTGGCTGTGTACCGATGATTCTGATGCGCTATACTGTGAGGCGTGCCGAACCGCCATTATAGTAGCAATAAATCTCAGAAGATACTAAAGATACACTACATAGACATCACTCGCAACTTACAACACATCACACAGCAGAGGAGAGAATGAAAGATGAGCTATGACGTAGAGATGCACAGTAGTAGGAGCAGTGGAGACACTGACGCAAGGAAGAGACGTGTGCGAGAAATAAGTGTAGGTGTGGTTGATAAGGTGTGGAGGTGTAGATTGGGTGTACGTGTAAAGTGACAGTGAGATTGAACATAACAGGATAAAGCGTGATGTATGAGAAGAGATAGTGAGAGGATGACGTAGATAGGAAGAAAAAAGTCGTAGGCATAATGTTGTAGTGAGTATGAAAGAAATAAGAGTGCAAAGGATGCGGAGAGTAAAGAAAGAAAGAGAACAGTGACAATTAACAAACTACAGACTAAATCACATTGGACAGTGCGCACGTAAGCCTGGCCGACCCTTGAACATGTGACGCTCCATTTGCTGGGTCCGGCAACCTCGGACGGGACCACTGAAGGATGAAAGAGGTTCCCAGGGGCTCCTGGTTCCTTGCGCAATTAATTAGTTTATGTGCCTAATGCATCCTGCAACAGTATAACTCCTGAGATAAGTATTGAGTCGTTAATTCAGCTCCAGGTCGTGTCCCTCGGCTCGGGTGATTTTATTCATTACTTCGCTAGGGCGACAATTCGGAGACGTAAGTATCACGTTACTTCGGGGATAATCCTCGTTGCTTGTAGCGGTTGCCAGAATACGCTGCGTGCTCGCCACATCGGACACTGAAGAGATACTCGCTCTCTTGCGGGACTAATTTCATGGTGGTAGGGATATGTGTCACGCTGCGGAAGTGTTGGATCAGATTTCGTCGTAAGTGGAATGGTTATCTCGTGAATATGAGAGGGCTGAAGACTGCGTGAAGAGTGAGAAACATTAGACTAGACGTGAGGCTGGATGAAGGTTTGAGGGAGGGAATATGAATTTTGACGCAGTTATGACCGTAGAACGAGAGAACTGAAAAGTTGCTGCTACTTTGGACGCGCAGACACGCATACCAACTGGCGGTTAAGTGGGATTTGGATTGGAGAACGAGCAAATGGAAGTATGAAAGGAGAAAGATATGATAGGGTAATACAAGCAGATAGAGTGATTGACATATGCATACTGTTAGTGATATGATGTTATAGATATAGAAGTTGAAGTAAATAATAATGAAGGAGTGCATAAGTAACCTGATAATGATAATTATTGCAATGTAGAACTGATCATAGTAAAGAAGATCAGAATTAGAGAGAATAAGAGAGTGAGGAAGAAAGTAGAAATAGAGGATTGAGGATAGAGAGATAGAGATAGTGAGAGAGAGATGAGAAGATAGAAATGAGGAGAACGCAAGAAAAGATAATGGAGAGAGAAATGAGATAAGCCGTAAACCTCAGCATTCTCTGCGTACTCGATACTCGTACTCGTACTCTCTCTGATGCATCTCGTCTGCTCTCTCTCTCTCTCTCTGTCTCTCTCTCTCCTGATCGATACACTATCTAGATCGATGAGATCCCTCGCACCTTCTCTGACTCTCTCCCTCTGCCCGCAGGGGGGAGGGGGGGGATGAAGAGATGAGGGAGAGAGTGAGAGAGGGGTGAGAGATGAGAGGAGGCTGTGGGTGTGAGAGGGGGTGGAGAGAGAGAGAAGAAGACGAGAGGAGAGGATTAGAGAGAGAGCAGAGAGGGGGAGAGAGAGGAGAGAGAGAGAGAGGAGAGAGAGAGAGAGAGAGAGAGAGAGAGGAGAGAGAGAGAGAGAGAGAGAGAGAGAGAGAGAGGAGAGAGGAGAGAGAGAGGAGAGAGAGAGGGGAGAAGAGAGAGAGAGAGGGGGAGAGAGATGAGAGAGAGAGGGAGGGGAGAGGGGGGAGAGAGAGAGAGGGGAGAGAGAGAGAGAGGGGGAGACAGAGAGAGGAGAGATAGAGAGAGAGGGAGAGATAGATAGATAGATAGATAGATAGAGAGAAGATGAGAGAGAGAGAGAGAGAGAGAGAGAGAGAGAGAGAGAGAGAGAGAGAGAGAGAGAGAGAGAGAGAGAGGAGGTTGAGGCTTATCTGATTTTTCATTATTCTATTTGTTCATTATTATAATTATCATAATTATTATTTCATTATCATTATTATTATGATCATTATTGCAATAATTATCATTATCATTACTATGACTCTTATTATTATTATAATTTATACTATAATCATTAATAACAGTAGAAGTAATAGTTGTTGTATATAAATGCTTTTCATACTCCAGGTGTTAGAAATAGTAGCAGTGGTAGTGGTTGAAGTAGCAGTAATTTTAGTTGTAGTAGTAATATACTACTACTAGTAGAAGTAGTAGTTTTAGTAGTAGTAGTAATACTATTATCCAATATTACTTTGCAATATTAACACTATTATCCAATGTTACTTTGCAGTATTATCAACACTATTATCCAATATAATTTGTAGTATGATAAATACCATTATCTAATATTACTTTGCAGCAGTAGGAAAACTAATAATGATAACACGACCACTTTTTTCATCCAGCTGACACCACCACCGTCAATCAGCCGGTTTGTTAAAATTGTGGCAGGCCCGACCCAATGAATTTTCATAAATACAGATGCAAGAATAAAGGCTTATCTGTCTATGTTTTGATTAGATATACATTAACTATCATTTGCCGGTTGGTATGCATGTCTAGACTTGATATGCAGTGATTATTATATTTATGCATGTCTAACTGATAGATATGCATTTATTTCTTATTTATGCATGTCTAGGATACTGATATGCCTTATTATGCATGTCTCCATTTACTATATGCATGTCTAGACTGATAGATATGCATTTATTTCCTTATTTATGCATGTCTAGATAGATATGCATTATTTCCTTATTATGCATGTCAAGTCTACGAATATTCTTTGGTTCGGGCCTCGCGCAGTTCTAACAAACCGGCCGACCTAACCCGACCCGCGCTGACCTCCACGCATGACAGAATACGTGACACTCTTCTCGTCATCGCTCTTCCTAATGGTGACGTCATCCGTCTCGTTCACACGGCAGAAGAACGCCTGGCACAGCGGCTGGTCTGGTGTCGTCGCTTCGCACTTGACGCTGGCTTCTCCGTGGAGCTTTAGGGCGTAGTTCCCGGCGGGGTTCGAGCTGTCGAGGGTCACCCGGAACACGTCGAGGGCCAGCTGCTCGACCTGCGCTTTGTAGACTGGCGGAGGGAAGGAAGTGGAGGGGGTGAAGGGGAGAAGATGGGGGAGGTATATATGTGTATACGGATATTTACATATATACATTATAAACGCGTGCACACACACACACGCACACACATATTTCATATATAAATAAGTATATATATATGTACACACACACACATATATATGCATTTATCTATTTATTCTCTTATTCTTTCATTCACCAGCCTGCACCCGAACCCCGAGCCCCTCCCAAAGACCCCGCCCTCCCAAACCCCGCCCCTCCCACCCCCCCCTCCCACAGAGCAGAGCCGCGAGCAACGCCCCTTCCGCCCACCTTGGAAGGTCACCGTCAACGACTTCACGTCCTCCTCCTCGTCGAGCGTCACGACCAAGACCCCGAACCGCTCCAGGTCGTCGGGAATGACCACCTGCTGCGAGCACGACCCCGCACGACCCTCCGAGCACGCGTAGTCGTCGGGGGACAAGATGACGTTGGAGTCGAGGCGGAAGACGACCAACTCTGCTCTCGGAGGCGTCGTCGGGAGGGAGAGTCGTAGCTCCTTCAGGTCGTACAGGTCCAGGACGGGGTTCAGGAGGGCTGTTGGGGGGAAGGGGGAGGAGGGAGGGAGTGAGTGGTGGCGGTCATTTGGTGATTGTGGTGGGGTGTGGATGTGATGGTGATTTTGATTTGTGATTTGAAAACATTTATTTACAGAGCAGTTTACATGCCCTGTAAAAAGCCAAAGAAAACCATAATGATACTAATACTGATGACAATCATAATCACAGCTGTCATATTAACAATAATAATGATACTAACGAATAGTGAATAAAAGAGAAAACTGATTACACCCACCCATCCATTCCCCTCCCTCCCTCCACCTACCCATCCATTCTCCCTCCCTCACTCCACCCATTCATTCCCCCTCCCTCCACCCACCCATTCTCCCTCCCTCACTCCACCCACTCATTTCCCCTCCCTCCACCCACCCACTCACCCACCCATTCTCCCCTCACTCCCTCCACCCACTCACCCACCCATTCTCCCTCCCTCCACCCACCCACCGACCCCACTCACCTTCGAACGGACTCACATACACCTCACACTGGTTAATCTTCTGTCCGTCCTCAGCGGTTAAAGTCACACACCGAGGGACAGAATCCGGCAGTTTGTCCCGGATAAAATAGCAAGGACTTTCTTCCTTCTTGCAAACCAATCCTTCCTTCACGACCACTTCTTCGAGGGACCGTGTCTATCCGGAGATGAGGAATCTGGGCTCTTTTGTAACTTTGAGCCCGACAGTACGTTCTCCAGGGCTGCTGGGCGTCCTGATGAGGAGGGATGGTTTTGATAAGAGAGTCCGAGGGAGTTGAGAAAGGAAAGGAGGAAGGCACGGGTAGGGAAGGAAGGAGGAATGAGGTAAAATGGGAAAGGAGGGATGAGTAAGTAGGAAGGAGGAAGTGAGGAAGGAATTGAGGAGAGGGGAGAGGGCCTAGAGAGGAGAGAGGGAGAGGGGTAGGGAAGATAAAGGTAAGGAGGGCCGTCCAGGAGAAGGCTTAAGGAACAGAGACGGAGGAAAATACGGACATCAATAAAAAGGAAAGTAGTATCTGAGATAGGTCTAAGGAAGGACAGGAAAGAGGAGAGGTAGGAGTGAGAAAGGAAGAGGGAGAGGGTGATAAGGGAAGAAAAGGGAGAGAAGGAGAAGGGAAGAGGAAGTAGGGAGAAGGGTAAGGGCCGGAGAGGGGTGATATTGCTTATGTTGTCAAACTTTCGGTAGGTAAAAGAGAGCAGTAAAGGGAAGTGGAGTATTGGAGAGAAAGAGAGGGATTGGCAAATGTAAGAATATAGGGAGTGAAGAGGGAGAAAAAGTTAAAGTAGGGAGGTAAGGAGAATATTTATAGGGGTAATAGGAAGCGTGATAGAGAACAATCAAAAGAGGTGAAGGATATGGTATGTCGTGTCCGTGAGGGAGAAGGGTAGAAAGAAAGAGAGTAACAGGGTGACAAGGAGAACAGAAAAGCAGTGATAGTAGGGAGAAGGTGTCAGGAAAGCGATACGAAGGGAGGAGGTGTCTAGAGAAGGAAGCTAGTGAGATTGGGGGAGGTCGAATAGGAGGAAGTGGAGAAGATGAGAGGAGAAAGGGCATATATGGAAAGGGAAAAGAGCGTGAGTGGGGGAACAGAAAGTAAAATTGGACAGGAGAAGGGAAAGGCGAGTAGGCTGTTGTATCCGTTCGGTCAGGAAACCATAGGGATTGACAGGAAAAGAGGGGAGGAAGGGCGGTGAGGGAGAATGTGGGAAAGAAGGAGTGAGAAGGGGATGTGGGGTGTGTTTTGGTAGGAAAGAAATAAGGGAGAGTAGGAGAATGGAAGAGAGAGAGGGAGGGAGGAGAGGGAAGAGAGAGGTGTAGGGAAGGATAGGGAAGAGTGAAGAGGTGGGAAGGAAAGGAGGAGATAGAGATGAGAAGGGAAGATAGGTAGAGGCGATGGGTGTAAAGAGTAAAGTAAAAAATATGAGATGTGGCGGTGATGTCTGAGTATACTAGAGTAATAATACTTAGATAGCGAGTCTAGAGTATAACTAAATAATGGAGCACGGGGTAGAGTGATGAGGTAAACGAAATATAGCAAAGAGAGCATAAACGTAAATAAATCAAGAAAGTATTTGTGTATGTGTGATGAAGTAACAAACAATATTAAAAGTGAGGTATATTATCATCTCAACCATGTAAGATCATATGTCGATTGGCAGACCAGCGAGTGAGGTTTTTTTGTTCTGTCTGACGATAAACACGTAAGAACGGCTAATCAGCTATAAAAAAGAGAAGACCCAATATTGAGGAGAGAGGAGCGATCTTCTCCGAGATACACAAACATGTTTCCCAACGACAACGTTATCCTCACTCTTGCAAGCCGTTACGACCCCTCCCCAACGTCCAAAAGGAATTCGACCCCTCTTCGGCCTGTGAAACACGACGTGAGCCTTCCGTCCAACGGGAAGGTTCTGCCCTTCGTGAGTCACTTCGAAGGTGCCAGAAGGACTCCCCTGCACCGGCACAGCCTCCCAGCCGAGTTCCTTGGCCTCGCCTTCCAGCTGGAGAAAAGTGTGCTGAGGTGGCCTCGGAGTGCGAAGGCGCTGAGGTCGACGCCTTGATCTGGTGGCGCTGCTGGAGGGCAGGGTGACGGAGGTGACGGCGCACCTTCGGGGGGAGGCTATCAGCTGAGGCGAGAGAGGGAAAGAGAGGGATCAGGAGGACACATGGTGGAGGGATAACTGAAGGGGGTGGGGGAGAAGGAGCCTCTAAGATTTATATTTACAAAAGATGTACACTTGAATCTTCATACTTTATATATGCAATAAATGTATATTTGAATATCTAAATTTCATAGGTGGAGCACTTGTATACTTGAATCTTTTAAGGTTTAAATTTCCAACTAATGGTACATACATAGGTTTCTTTAATATACATGATTTGAGGCAAAATTAGGAAATACATAATGACGTTAATGTATCGTGGTAAGACAAAATATAATTCACATATCAACAGTGAAATCAACATCAACATCTGGAATTCATGCAATAAGTATTTTGAAACTATAAAGACTGTATCTACTTGTGGTAGTTTGTGTTTGGAAATGAAATGAGACGAGAAACTAATAGCCACACACAAACATGCGAATGAGACAAACATACAAACACAGAAAAAACTTAAACCCACTTCTGATGGATAAAAACAACGACAAAAACAAAACACGAACAAACACTAAAGTCTCCCCAACTTATACTCAACTTGCCTGAACTTCCATGTACGAAACAAACATGAGAAACAAAGAATCACACAGAAAACTTATACACAAAAATAAACACTATATTCACATGGCGTATTCCTGTGCAAAAGAAACACAAACAAACATTAACAATCACAAAACCTAAGGACTCACCTGGCGTATTTATGTAGAAAACAAACAAATAAAAAAATAAAAAAACATGCACAAACATAAAGATAATGACCAAAAACCTGGCACAGTCATGCACAAAAATCATACAAATTCTAACAAATGAAATCTAACCACCTGGTGAATCGCACAAAACAAACACAAACAATAAAACGCAAAAACCCACCTGGCGCATTCATGTACAAAACGAACATTCAAACAAAATACCAACAAATGAAATCTAAACCACCTAAGCTGAATCCATTAAAATAAACAAAAAAACAACTGAATAAAACAACAAAAAAACAAAAACTCACCTGGCTTATTCACGAACAAACAATAAAACAAAAACTCACCTGGCTTATTCACGAACAAACAATAAAACAAAAACTCACCTGGCGGATTCACGTACAAAACAAACAAACAATAAAACACAAAACTCACCTGGCGTATTCATGTCTGTGGTTGCCCCAACGGAGACTTTCTCATCACCAACTCTCTGTACTTTAACTGTGTATGTTCTCCCTTCCTCCAGGTTGTTGAAATGGACCCAGCAACGGCCGCCTGTACATGATCTTTTAACCTCTGTGACTGATGACATGGAAGAGAGAGAAGGAGGAGCAAGAGGAGGGGAGGTAGAAGAGGGGGAAGGAGAGGGGGTTGTAGAAGGTGGAGAGGGAGAGGGAGAGGATGTGGAAGAGGGTGAGGTAGATGCAATGGGAGAGGGAGAAGGAGAGTGAGATGGAGAGGGAGAATGAGAAGAGGAAGAAGAGGAAGAAGAAGGGTCAGCAGACGAGAGAAGGGACACAGTGTAATCTTCGGCTTGGTTCGTCGTCCACGAAACCTCCAACATGTCACTGGTCAGCTGTCTTGTGGAAACCTTTATATCTGGAATGGAGAAAACGCACCAATAATAAAAAAAAAAAAAAAATGAACTGAATTAAATCAATTTCAATAACCTATCTGGAAACCTGTTTGGTGAAAAATACTGGAAAAAATAATTCCACATACTTGTTAGAAAAATACGCATTATATAAAACACCAAATTGTCAGTTCAGACACTTTCCTGGGAGTATGTATTGTGAGAGAGAGAGAGAGAGAGAGAGAGAGAAGAGAGAGAAGAGAGAGAGAGAGAGAGAGAGGAGAGAGAGAAGAGAGAGAGAGAAAGAAAGAGAGAAAGAAAGAGAAGAGAAAGGAAAGAGAAAGAGAGAGAAAGAGAGAGAGAGAGAGAGAAGAGAGAGAGAGAAGAGAGAGAGAAGAAAGAAAGAAAGAAAGAAAGAAAAAGAAAGAGAAAGAAAAAAGAGAGAGAGAGAGAGAGAGAGAGAGAGAGAGAGAGAACAAACATTTACCATTACGAACAAAATCATGAATGAACTTACCATGAAATGGTGAAAGGACCGACTCCTTCACTCCCCCATCCTCATCTAAGGCCACCACAAGGACCTCGAAATCCTGCAAATCCTGTGGGATGTTTACCTCTTGATTGCAGGATCCATCTGGTTCGGAAATACACTCTGGGCTGTAAAAAAAAAAAAAAAAAAAAAAAAAAAAAAAAAAATGGGGATGATTTGTGATAGGCTAATGAGGTTTCTGTTCATCGATTTAATTTGTTAAATTGCATTTACCTATTTGTGTACTTAAGCCATTTATTTTCTTATTGGATAACTGATACCGCTATTACTGTATTTGAGTAGGATGCAGAGAAAATGTACGTGTGTGTATGCATGTGCGTGTGTGTGTGTGTTTACAACATAAAATATTCACTCCGTCACCCTACCTTGATACACTCAGAAGGTCATCAGTCTCCGGGTTGAAAACGAGCACTTCCAGGATCTCCGTAGGTGGTGTTGATAGGAATACTTTCAGCAGATTACCGTCAGATAACTCCAGCCTCGGTGTTTCGGTCATCGCTGGTATGAGAGTGTAGTTTGCAGTTATATTAGATTTGGAAGTGACTACGGGGGATATAAAGAGTGCGAACAGGTAGAGGTAGCGATACGGACATTGCGTCTGTACGGATAATAAGAAAATATTTACGGAACGATATTTGAATCACATGGCAAGTGTATTTATAATGGAAGTAATAACATCAGCATTATCCACGAAACCAACAGCGATAATACTCACCCTTAAACGGCGTGTGAGACGTATCACACTGATTGACGGTCTCGTCCTCGCCTCCTGCGTTGGGGATTGTAATGCAGTGCCTGAGAACGCCCTCCGTCAGCGCCTCCGTCAGGAAGTAGCAGGGACTGACCGCCTTTGCACACGACCCGAAGCCCTCGACATCAACGCTCTCTTGGCTCCCGACGTCGACCCTGACGGAGGCGTCGGGGGAGCCTAGGGCGGCGCCCACCACGCCCACCCGCGAGTCCATTTCTGCGGATCAGGAAGCGGACTCTCAGCGATAGGTGTCTAAGGTATGTAGACCTACATATTTAAGTGGTTGTGAAAGACCTGCTTTCAGTAAATCAAGGCGGAGAAGTTCAGTCAGATATGGAATCCCTGTTCTTGAATCTACACATCATTACGTTTTCATATTTGCATTATCTTCTGTATCCATAAACGTGGAAATGAGTAACATGTCGAGAATCCAGTAAGGAAAAAAGATAGGCCTATGCACTAAGGACGGTGAATTCCATTATTTTGTTATTATCATTATTATTATTGTTATTACTTATAAGATGCTCCCAGGATATCGTTACTCCCTAATCTCCTCCTGGGTTCCTTTTATTCTATAAATGATGCAGTACTGCTTGGTTATATCAACGATAATTTAATTTGACTGATTAGGATGAAAAGAACAGAAATGAATCATAAGAAAGGACAGTATAAAGGGGCGGATTCAAGAATTTTGGAAAGGCAGGCGCTTGGATTGAGGTAAAGGCCCAAGCACAGTTGCCGGTCGCGGAGTGCTCTGTAGGAGGTTTTTAGGCTTCCATCAGGAAATTCTTAAAACTGAAGATCATTAGGTATGCGGAGGATGTCAATGAAGATTCGGGGTTGAAATAATAGGAAATAGAAATGCTACTAAGAAGAAAAAAGCCCTCAAAATTAGGGGGCGTGGGGCGCGTAGGGTAGACCCTCTTGGATCCGCACCTGGTATACCAGATTTTTATCGTGTAGCTGGAATTTAATGCCTTGTAATATTTTAGACTTTCAGACAACCTGCATCAATCTCCCCCCCCCCCATAGACAACCTGCATCAATCTCCCCCCCTCCCTCCCCCCACAGACAACCTGCATCAATCTCCCCCCCCCCTCCCCCCTAGTTAAGGAACCACGGACCCAGAGGAGGCAAAGGACATCCCTTTACAAGGCAAAACGTGTGAAGCAACATACCCAAGAGGTTCACGTTGGCTTTGCCCACATCGCAGAAGGACGCGTCTTCACAGTACCCGGCAAGGACAAAGCTCCAGCTTCCAGGTCCTCTTGCAGATGCGTCGAAATAATACACTGACTTCTCGACGAACGTTTTGAGGTCTTCGCAGTTATCCTCGGTGGCGACATTGGACTCGAAGGTCACGAGTTCGACCTTCTGGACGCTTCTTGCGCTCAGGACTTCGACTCGTGTCTGTTCTTCGGCGTCCATGGAGGTGATGGTCTGCACTTGTGACGCTGTAGGAGGCGTTTCTGTGGAAGCAGTTGAGGATTTGATTCTTGTGTCGAATCCTACACTTTTTTTTAATGTGAGGAATTTGTTCGTAGAAATAAATCTGTGATTAGAAGAAATTTTGAAAGTAATGACGATATGATTGGTGGTCACAGTACACCTCTAAAACAAACGAGATAACGATGGTAATAATGATGACAAAAAATAATCCTGTAGATCTATTCTCTTAAAGGGAATTAGATTTCTTATATGCGACTAACCAAATGTTAGTCACATCGCCCCCAGAAGACAAATAAGACAACAATGATAAAAAAATAAATAAAAAATACCTGTGGTTATATCCTCATATATGGTATTGGAGCCCTTTTTGACGCTCACGGGTTGAGTGCCGTCCACCGCGTCCACTCCAGAGAACCAGACGCGACATGGCGACCCAGCTATGCAATCCTGAGAGGCCGGAGATGCCAACTCATCGGGCAGCATGACCTCGTACGTGCCCCCCGAGCGAGGGTCAACGGCCACTTTCAACAGGGAGGGCGAGAGGGCGACTGCACTCACTTTGTGTACTGGGACAAGATAAAAAACGGTAAAAAAAGTTATGGTTCTTGTTCACATGAATAGTAGCAATAATGTACCGTTGTTGATATGTACGTATTATTGGTTTTCATGAGGACAATAAGTGTCGTAAAACAGTAACGGTAATAGGGAGTGAAATGAATGGTTTACGGAATAGGCGAGTTAATGAGGAGAATTGTGATGGCGATGACAAGATTGTATGATTTTGACGAGATGATATTAAAGATAAGAAAATGGTGATAACTACAATATCTGCCAAGGCCTCTGCCTCATCTTCACTGAATTTCAAAACTATGATGAAGATGGAGTTCTGGTTATCGGTTTTGAAAGAAAAGGATAGAATATCTGAACAAGAAATAAATAACAATTATAAGCAAGCATTTGTCGGCGGCGAATGCCAGCAACAACAACCATAAAGCCAAGGAGAGCACCTTCGAAGGGCACGGCGAGCGACGCCGTGACGTAGCCTTCGTCGTCCAGCACGACGAGCGTCACGTCGAAGCCGTCCAGATCGTCGGCGACGGCCACAGGGTGCGCGCACGTCCCGTCGTCCAGGTCGTCGCAGCCGAAGCCGTCGGGAGGCAGGATGGAGTCGTCCTGCGCGCTGGAGACCACGACCTCAGTCCACGCTCCGTCGGGCCGGGGCTGCTGCACTCGCAGCTCCTGCCGGTTGCGGAGCTCCAGGGGGACCTCGTCCGGGTCTGGGGGAGGGGGGGGGTAAGGGCCTCTGTCCTGAGCGTCTTTTCAAGGCATATATTTTTTCTTATTGTAGTAATGCATTCTGGTATAAATAGAGTACAGATGTGCTATGGAAATGCACATGTTTAATTTAGTATTCATCTAGGCAACATAGAATGACCCAATGGTTATAAAAATTGCTGCTTCGCTGTTCAAATGACAGGGATTAAATTGTATCATGCAGCGTAGGTTGAATGAAGTGCGATACCCTCTCCAACAGTGAAAGAAATCTTTAGTAATTACTCTGCACTTCCGACACAACGGCGTCGCAGAATCTGATCTTGGGAAAGTCCTCGCAGAGGGGGTCTAAGGAGACGTCCTGGCCGACGTAGTAGCAAGGGCCAGAGCCTCCCTCGCAGGGAGGCTTCCCAGGGACTTCCACCTGGCCTCGCGCCCCTGGGTCCACCCTCAGGGACGGGGCGCTGGCGTCCCCAACCTTCGCCACCCTGGAACCCGGGTCTGAGAAGGATGGGAAGAGATTACACTTTTCGTTTGTTTATTTCCAGCTTCCGGTTAATTGCAGGCGATCACTTGATTACTTGCAGTTAAATGATTTATGCAGCAGTTTTAAGAGCAGTTTGCGTTTACATGACCACGTGAACAAGCCGGAAAATGAATTCCTACGCAGCATTAGGACTCTTCCGAGGGGCATTTCCTCACCTGTCAAATTCTGCGCCACGGAGCCAAATCCCACATTATCCCCGTCTTTCATAGCATTTATAATGACAACGATCGAATCTTTGAAATTCCCTGCGAACTCAATCTCTGTGGCATCTTCATCGATGATTTCATAAAGGAGATGAGTTTCCTGTCCCGCGCCTGATGCCAGAGTTAAAGAAAGCTGAAAGTCGTCTGCATCTTTGGCTTCGTGAGGATCCAAGAAAACCCTCATGTTTTGTCGTCTTCCGCTCGGGTCGTCTTCCCTGGACACCTTGTGGAGCTCCTTGATGGTGAGAGTAACTGGCACTGCACGCGGCTTCATTTCTGAAAGTATATATACACATACATTACCTATACATACAGGGGAAAAATAAATGGAAATACGCACCCTTCTCACACAGACAGACACGTACAAGCACACCCACACACACACACACATATACATACATACATACATATATATATATATATATATATATATATATATATATATATATATATATATATATATATATATATATATATATATATATATATATATATATATATATATATATATATATATATATATATATATATATATACACACACATACCACACACACACACACAACATATACTGTAATGAAAATTGACTCATTCTGAGGAGTCTCGGCGCCATCTGTATAGTTTCGCCTTATCTATCATGCATTTTATGTTTGCTTGATAAAGGAACACTTAAGATGCACTTGAAAGAAGATAAAGGGTTGGGTAAGTTTGGTTCCAGGAAACGAGTATTCGCATGAGATAGATTGATAGAGAGATAGATAGGTAGGGAGAGGGGGAGGGAGGGAGGGAAAGAGAGGAAGGAGGAGAGAGAGAGAGACAGATAGATCGATATATATATATAGAGAGATAGAGAGAGGGGGGGGAGGGAGGGAGGAGGAGAGAGAGAGAGGGGGAGAAAAAGAAGGAGAGGTAGAGAGGAGGAGGAGGAAGAAGAGAGAGAGAGAGAGAGAGAGAGAGAGAGAGAGAGAGAGAGAGAGAGAGAGAGAGAGAGAGAGAGAGAGAGAGAGAGAGAGAGAGAGAGAGAGAGAGAGAGAGAGAGAGAGTATAGAACGAAAGCTCATATACATATCTAATCAGAATTATTATCCGTTATCGTTATTATTGTTACCCTTATTAACATCATTACTACTACTACTATTATTATAATTACTACCACTGCATCATTATCATCTATTATTATAATTATTATCATTATCATTATAACTATCATTATTAATATCATTGCTGTTATTATCATGATCATTATTATCACCAACATCATCATTATTATTATTATCATTATTATTATTATTAGTAGCAGTATCATCATTATCATTATCATAATTGTCATTATAATTATCATTTCTATTATAATCTTATTTGTTATTATTGTTACTGCTGTTATTATCATTTTCATTATCATTATTACTATTATCAGCATTATCACTATTGTTTTCTTATTATTCTTATCATTGCTCTTATTATCATTATCATCCTCAATATTATCGGTAATAATATTAGTCGTAGTAACAGTATCAGGCTCATAATCATCTTCATTATCATTGATAATGATGATTATGATCATCATTACCATCAACAGCATCCTTACAATATCATTAGTATTACCACTACTACTATCATTACCACTATTATCATCATTACCACTATTATCATCATTACCATCATCACCATTACCGTTGTTATCATTACATTATCACCATTACCACTGTTCTCATCATCGTCATCACCAATACATATATTATCATCAACAGCAGAAGGCCAAAGTGAAATTCCAGAACTCACGATTTTCAGGCAGGCGGAATTGCACCAGCTGTCTGACGGAATCTTTGGTACCAGCTGTTTTCAGGGTCACGAGATCGCCTGGACTCTGCGAGGGTGAAAGGGAGGAGAATGGTTATCATTTAATATTAGATGATGATGTTATAAATGTATTCGTTGTATATTTCTTCTCAAATTAAGTTTAGTTTCATTGGTTTTCCATTATGGTTGTCTTGATGGTGATAAAAACAAAATGACATTATTACTACTACTAGTAATAACACCAAGGAAACAACATTAATAAGAATAATTCGATTTTCATTAGCGATGGTAACTCGTAAAACGATCTATAGGGTGAAAAGAGAGTTTATTTTCGGTCACTGATGCTTACGTACGCCCGTATTTACCGAACAGAGGAATAAATTTCGTTTAACCTATCCACGTTTTACACAAGGAAGTCAAGTACTGGATGAATTTCCCTACTCTTACGCTCTTTACGAAGCTTATCGTTAACTAATGAAACTTTTTAAATACACTTTTATTTATTGTTGACGACTGAGGTGACAGTGGTAGCTTGAAAAGGATTAAAAAAGCTAGGGAAAGTTTAATGATTCATACATATCCACACGCACAAACAAATAAATCCGTATACATAAACCTCACATAACACCATAAAAATGGTATAATCAAAGTCCTTTTCAGGTCCCACCCTGGCCCCTTCGCCTACACACGAACGCATTTTCTGAGAGGTTGAATCACGACCTAATTCATTACCCCGGATGTGAGGTGGACGCAGCAGTCGTGGCATCCGGGCAGAGGAGAGATGTGCGGCCAAGCGACGTCTCCTTCGACCAGGGCAAAGGCGAGTCCTTCGGGGTCATACCAGCAGAGCTCGTACCTGCCTTCGCCCATGGGAGTTACCTCTGGGACTGCGTTCAAGGTAAAATTATGGTTACAGAACAAATCAGACATACACATGCTCACAATATATGTTGGATATAATACAGAGAGATATTCGACTTGTTCTGTAATTTTCTCGGGGGCGCCTCTTTGGTCCGAAGAACGAAAATCCCACAGCGATGGCTCACCTACGACGAACGTCTCCAGCTCCTGAACCGGGTCATCCCTGCCGGTCTCCAAGACCCTGAATCTCAACGTCTTCGCCAAGTCCTTCTTCTCGAGACTCAACCCGGCGAAGCAAAAAGCCTCCTCCGTTTTCCGCGACGCCCCTCCTCCTCCTCCTCCTCCTCCTCCTCGGGCCCGCCACGCCCTCCCGAGATCGTTGGTGACGAGGAGGTCGAGCTGCCCGAAGGGGGTCCCGTCCGCCTCGCTCTCGAGACACACCGTCACTTCTGCCTTTTCCTCGTCGACCCAATTGTAGTTTATAGTCTGTATCTCTATTTCTGTGTAATTTAGATTAATAGATTACTGTTCATACTTTATTACAAGTTTATACATGTATACATACACACGCTTATCTATAACATTTATATTTATCTGTCTGAGGCAGATCTACCCTTCCGGTGCGGCTACAGTCATATTCATATATATATTTTGGATGAAAACAAAACCTATTTTTTCAAAAACAATGAAAAAAATGATTCACAGAAGTGACTCTTTACCCAACACTGACTTTGGTTTGTGGTGGGCGTAGCATTGGTGATTGTGCAAGTGCTGAGAAGGGCCAATAAACACAGCGTTAGGTACTGGAAGGTGGATGCTATAGTCCCCCCAGACATCATAACAATCCGTTTTCTGTGGATTTTTTTTTCTGAAATAGAACGTTGTTTTTTAAGTTTCTTCTGTTAGCGTCAATTAGGATAAGTGAGAAAAAAGTATATTTTTTTCTATTAGCATTGCGAGACAGAGAAACATCACTAATGTATGTAAATATTCAAGTATGAATATGTTTATTGCATTAGTAATCCTGTTGCCTTGGTGGTGGTATGCGCTCTCTGATTGCTTTTGTTACAAGAATAATAAACAAATAGAAATTTATCATCCGCTTTCTGTCGAAAATAAAACCTATAGAAAAGAGATCTCTGTATAAGCCATTAAACAAAAAGTCGAAAAACATCCTGAAATTCCTGAAAAAAGAAGCCAATAATAATAATAATAATAATAATAAAACTATGATGCAGTTGGTGTAAGGAACATATGCTCATGAATTCCTAATATGTGGCTCCATACAAGTGATAATTATGGGCGCGGACCCAAAATTTTCTCTCGCCGCAAGTGAATTCTAAGCCAGCCTAAACACACACACACACGTGTATACATACACACACACACACACACACACACACACACACACACACACACACACATATATATATATATATATATATATATATATATATATATAATATATATATATATATATATATATGTGTGTGTGTGTGTGTGGTGTGTGTGTGTGTATATATATGTGTGTGTGTGTGGTGTGTGTATGTGTATATATAATATATATATATATATATATATATATATATATATATATATATATATGTATATATATATATATATATATATATATATATATATATATATACATATTTATATATATATATATATATATATATATATATATATATATATATATATATATATATATATATATATATATATATATATATATATATATATATATATATATATATATATATACATATATAATAAGTACATATGAATACGCCCATACACCAGAAATACAATTAACACAGCCTATTGACTCCGTGCCACAACCTGCGCAGTCACAGTCAAACGGCCTTTGTCTCTCTTTATCTCTGCTGCCGCCTCTGCTCGCCGCCGAATTCTCCGAAATGTGGCATTATTTCTGGCTCTCTGATTACGTGTCTGTGTGTGACTTTCAGCCTCTATGTTGCTTAGTATTTCTGATAGTTATTTTCTCTCTCGTTCGTTTTATTTATTTCTTGTTTGTTTTGTTTTCTGGTTTTCCTCCTTTCGTTGTATTGTTTTTGTTGGTTATGGTGTGGTTTATCCTAATTATTTTTTTATTTTTAGATATTTACTTTGTAACGGTAATTCCTGTTTCATTATTGTTTTGATCAATTCTTGTTATTCATCCTTTGTTTCTATTTATTTCCTCCCTTCTACTATGCCATTTCATTCTAATATTCTGATTCATGATTATTTGTTCTATGATGCAGTCATGATAACCGCCAAGCAGTTTTTGGTCAATTCAAATATCGCCTAAATTAAGATAACGCTTATCTGTTGTTGAAAATTGAAAAGATAATGATGAAGTTTCTCGACCCAACAAGTCCATCTATCAATTTCAAAATCCACATAGGACCTTGTTTCACTTTCTAAGTTCTAGTATTTATTTATTTATTTATTTATTTATTTACTATTTCTAGAGAGAATCGTCGACATGATTTGACTTTGTGAAATAGTCTCAGTTTTGTTTTTTAAGAATACTCTCTGTAATATCTAAGCCCGTTTTCCCTTCAAATTGTGTGACGCCGAATTCCTGGATATGAATTGCTTTATGAGAAGCTTCGATTAATAATTGTATTTGCTATCAGCTGTAAATGAGTCTCTCTTATGGCTGAATATTTTTCTCCTGTGTTTCAGAAGTATCTTTGTGAGAATTGTTCATTTTCCCAGATATATTGAAAGTTGTTGCTTTTTAAACAATCATCTCACAATAAGAAAGTTGTTTATGCTCCCAGCAACTTTAATAATAAATCGCTATGTATTCTAATTTGCGACATGAAATACAAACAAAAACACAACCCTTGGCTTTGTTATTCACATCAGTGCTTTCACCTACATACACATTTTACTACATAACCACATCAGTAATCGCAGGTTTTCCTAACCTGTTCAAATATTTAAGGACATTATGTATTTAACCTGGATGAACAAGTTTTGGGGTTGTACTATTGGCAACACAGGTATTTCTGGACCTAGGAATGGGTTTGTAGGTGTTAATTATTGTAAAAAATCATAAGAATTTTGTTTACGGAGGTACAGGACACCGGGACCCGATGCAGGAAAAATGAGACTACATTTTAACGTTGTTTTATAGAATCGAATACAAAATCATGATTTGTGGTCCTTAGTTTACGTAAAATGTAATATCAAAGATCAAGACTGAGAAAATTGTACGAATAACACAAACAGGTGATAATGTAGGATGCACAACTTTTATCAAATCACAATAAAAGGAGGGTCACCAAAACAAAGTGTTCATTTAGATAACTACAATCGGTTATCATCTGAGAGAAAGAGAGGGAAAGAGAGAGAGAGAGATGGAACGAAATCTATTGTTCATTTAGTACATAGTCACAGTACCTTATGAACACCATATTACAACGATCATACGGCCCAAAATGTTGCGTTATATTCATATTTCTTAGTTAATTTCACCCGTGCTTTACCATGCACTGCAAACCTTACATATGTTTTATCAAATTAATTCTTATTCGTGTGTAAATATATTAATAATTACTTAGTACCAACCTTTTAACGTTAACATCTTTCTTTTAACCTGCATATATCAAATACATAATTTATTCACTTGTTTTCAAATAAGATTAAACACTTCCCTTTCGTATAAAAAAGCTAATTTGCATTATAATGTGACAGTAAGCGATCTTTCGATGTTTAACCTAAGGTAGTCCGGTGAGCCATAATGTGGTTCGTCGTAGTCAGGGATTTTAGTTGAACAAAGCGTAACATTGTCATAACAAAATGGAAGTAACAAAAAATGTAATAAGGAGCCGAAAAGTAAACATATAAATAAACATGAAGAAACACTGGACAAAATATAATCGCTTTTGGTGATGCATAAAACAATACCAGAAAGTAAAAAAGTACGAAATTTTAGAGATAAAACAACATTCATAACTAACTAGCCAGCAAACAAATCTTATAAATATTAGACCAAAGATAACCAATTTTAGAAATGTATAAAAAACAATACCTTAAGCTAAAAAGAAGAATTTCGGTGCTGAACCCTCTCTCACGCTGATAGTTATTGCAGAGGAGAGCTGTCTGCACACCAATCAATGAACTGATAACTACTGTATGCAAGTTATCGAGATGGTTCGAAGTAGGCTGTTCCTGCCTGCTTATCAGCCATTATTCTGATAACATGTGAATGTGTTTTGTTGGATATGCGAGGAGAACCAGGTTGCAATATTGTCATTGTTAGTATTTTGTTTTCTTTGTATTTTGTATTTTGTTTCATCTATTTATTTATTTATTTTTATTGTGAGTGGTGTATATACTCTGGTTCT